GCTTGCAATACAGCTGTGAGCAGCAAGGTTCCCAGCAAAGCTTCTCTGGGCTTCAGTGTCACCATCTGAAGATGAGAAGGTGCAAGCTGGATTCCCTCTGAAGTTCTTTTAAACACCATCATTCCGAACACCATCAGAATCTATTATTTCCTATTCTACTTCTCATGTACATATTTTCTCTTCCTCTTTATAAGGGAACCACTCACCCAGGCTTTACTGCATGAATGCCAACCTTGTTGACCTCTGCTAGAATCAACACTGAAAACAAGGCAGAAGAGTCATCAACATGGTAGATCTGCAATGCGTACATTTTATTGGGACCAGTATGTGAGGAAGGATGCACTGTAAAATGTTCCACGTAATGTAGACAAGGAAGAATTATACTTTGGAGCTGTGGTAGGATGTATAATGGCCCACGGAAAACGTTTACATCCTAACCCCTAGAATCTGTATGTTACCTTACATGGTAAAAGGGACTCTGCAGATGGGATTACATTAGGGACCTTGAGCTGGGGAGATTACTCTGCATTATCTGGGTGGACCCAATCTAATCACAAGGGACCTTGTAAGAGGAAGCAGGAGGGTCGCAGTCAGAGAAGGAGATGTGATGACAAAAGCTGAGGTCAGACTGATGTGGGGTCATGAGCCAGGGAACGTGGTCAGCCTCTAGAAAACTATAAGCCAAGAAACTAAACTCTCTTTAGAGCCTCCTGAAGGAACCAGCCCTGCCTACCCATCTTAGATTTATATTCTCCAGAGCCATAAAATAATAAATCTGTATTGTTGTTGTCTTTCTTTTTTGTTTTTTTTCTTGTTTGTTGTTTTTTTGTGTGTGTGGTACGCGGGCCTCTCACTGCTGTGGCTTCTCCCGTTGCAGAGCACAGGCTCCGGATGCGCAGGCTCAGCGGCCATGGCTCACGGGCCCAGCCGCTCCGCAGCATGTGGGATGTTCCCGGACCGGGGCACGAACCCGTGTCCCCTGCATCGGCAGGCAGACTCTCAACCACTGCACCACCAGGGAAGCCCAAATCTGTATTGTTTTAAGCCACTAACTGTGTGATAGTTTGGAATCAGCAATAGGAAACTAATGCCTCCATGCTGCCAATAAGTTGTGTCCTGAAAAGAAGCTGTGGATAAGATCCTAGGGTATTTGGCAAGTTTGAACTAGGAACCTGCATTTGTTCAAGAGAAGAGCAAAGTGTAGTGGGAGACTGCCCTAGGGTTCAAGGGCACAGGATGCCACTCAGGAGTCCCTAAGGCAAAAAGGCACAGGGATGAGAGGGAAGGAAGCCAGGAACTGAGCTACCCCAGTGGGGTCAATTCACTGTGGCTGGTGTGTATCAAGGGACCTGAGCCTCATCAATGCTCCACCAGGAGGCTCCACCTCCATTCACTCTCTAATGCCTCACCCCGTTTCTTTCTTTCACTTAACACATGCTGCAACTGTCTCGGAAATCTTCCCTTCCTTTACATGTTTGCTACGTCCCTCCCCACACAAGAACACAAGCTCCACGTGGACAAAGACCTTGTCTGTTTTGCACCCGTCTGTATCCCCAAGGCCTAGCACGGTACTGCCACACCTGAAAGACTAAAAGTCAGAGGGAAAGAAAAACCAACAGCCTACAACAAACCTCAAGGAAACGAAGAGTGGTAGTGGTATATCTGCCACCTTAACCCTTTCCATAAAATCACAGAATCTGAGAGCTCAAAGAAATCTTATGGTTTACCTCTCCACTTTCCGAGTTCAAACACAATGTCAAACACACCACCGCCTCGTTAATCATATAAGCCGGCAATGAAAAATATGGTCATGATATAAAAAAATGTAATGTAGTGAGATGTTTACATACATTTTCATCGTATGTGTACTTCCTATATTAGCTTTGAGTACCTAACATTAATTTTAATCTGCACAGTAACCTAGAATTCCACATCTTTTTTACAACATTAAACTGTGCTCATGAGATAACACATGGCAAGCACTTAAAACAGGGTCTGGCGTGCTAAAGTGTTAAATCTACTATTTTGTATTATTTTTTATCTTATCCTTAGCAAATTGCAATGCATATAAATGTGAATGAACTCAGGCCTCCTTTTCCTACTCTAGGGCTTTCCAACAGACTCTCATCCATTCTTTCTCCAAGAATAATGGCTCACACAGAAATATCTACCAGATGACCCTCTCTTCGTGCAATCTCTAAATTTCCATAATGGCAAGAAAAGGAAAGGACTTTCCATAATGGCAAGAAAAGAAAAAGAAGTCTTTCCCATTTCTTCTTCTTGTCATTTTGTAGATTTTATACAAGGAAAAAAAAAAAAAAAAAGCAGCAGCGGCACCAGGCCTACAAAAAAGGACAACTGCCAAGGAAACACCGAGTGGGACTAAGGTGGAGCCAGGGAATTAGGTGACTCTGCTGCAGGGACTCCACTCTAGGAGACTCCACACAAAAAGGGGTGGGTCTAGAATGGGATTAGGGATCCCATTGGTAAGGGAATCCCCAATCAATATGGTGAATGTAGTGGGGGTAGAGGGTCTAGCAAAATCCCCCAACCTCAGTACAGCTCTGGATTAGATTCTCTGAACTGAAATCAACAGATGACGTGAATTCCAACTGTTTTTGAAAAACAGAATTGTTATACAAGCATACGCGTTATAAAAGTGCGATAAAACTTCTGTGATACATTCCCAAATTTGTTTAGAATAGAGAACATAAAAACTTTTAAGTAAGGTCCTTAATAGAGCTGCTGAAATACTTTTTCGCAGACCCTCTGATTAATGGCCAGAGTTAAAGCTAGTACAAGGTAACTTCAAAACTATTTAAGCATCGAGAAACTATATGCAAACTGGTAAGGGATGCACTGATATTCATATTAGCTTTACAGTACAGCTAAACTCTGCTGGAATAGCTAAAATCAGCTTCAGCTTTGTCCTCAGCTTCTGGAAGGCAAAGGAGCTGAAGCCTACTTCAAGGTCAGTTCTGGCATCAATGAACCTGTCAATGATCAATGACCTTATGATTATCTTGTGATCACCACTAACCTATATCACCAATAGTATGTCATTTGGATTTATTGCAAAATCTGCATATTCACTTGAACTATAGGTAAGCATTCTAGATGTGACCTGGATGAAACCATGCCTTTTACGTGTTGAAGTTACACAAACCAGGAAACGATAAGTATCTGTAAGTACTGCAATGATAAAATGCAATAATATATGATTTTGGAAGCTGTTCATTCTACACCCCAAAATAATTTAAAACTTCCAAGTAACTTATTTCATGTAAAAAGAATGTGGAATTAATAAAAATATCAAAAGAACATACATCGGCCAGCTGTTTCTAAAAACCTAAATAATATAAGGCAAAAAATAAGGATAACTTAATAATTCTAATATTTGTACCATTTTTACTATATTACTATTAAAAACATAAAACAAAGTAATGTTTAAGAACTGTGTTTAACTTTTAAGTACTTATATTTAGTCCTGAGACCTTCAAGAAAAATCCATTTGGGAATTTTCATAGCTTGTGAGAAAATTAAAAGCAGAATCTCAACTTCTGCTTTGAAAGAACGTTGAATTTAACATTTACCCTTTTGGCAAAAACATCTATTCAGATCAAGTGTTTACACCTGCTTTTCTCCTTTGCGCATTCTCCCAAACTCCCATTTGAAGGAGTAAATACGGGGTTTATTGTTTCCAGTTTTACCCTGGGAGATACTTACAGACCCTGCTGTCAATGAAGGCCTTCTGAAGCACCTGTGCACCTTTCTTCACCTGCTCCTTAGGTGAGGGGGTGGGGAAAGACTCATACTCAGATGAAAGGCATCCTGGTGTCTCCGGTGCATCTTGTGAACCTCTTGTTAGCCCACCTTAACTGAACAAGTCTGCTCCTGCCCAAACCTCACCCCTACACAGTGGGGGTGAGGGGTGCTGGGAAGCTGGCAGAAACAGATCTGGGAAGGACATGAGCTTTGGACTAAGAAGCGATGGGTCTGAAGCCTAACTCACTAACTCAGCAGGAAATTTAACCTCCAAGTACTTCTGCTTTCTCCTCTCCTACAAGAGGATTAAGACTATTCTCACGGGAGTGCTGTGCCAGTGAAGTTACTAACAGAGGTAACGCAGCAAGCATGGGCCCTAGTATCTGCTCAGTAAACGCTGGCTCTCATGACCCTGGGCATTTCACCACTGCCTCCGTGATTTCTGATTTCACACATCCTTTGAAACGGCTATAACACAGGTCTCATCAAATCCAAAGACTTGGTATTGTCCAGTAATCTCTCCTCCTAGGCTTTTGCTTTCAACATCCAACATTCCCAGGCCGTTCCCTTAGGGCCACTGCCATGTGCTGGTCCTACTCACGTGTCTCTAAATCTCTGGAAGGAAAGATCCGAGGAAAATCCATAAAAGCTGAGAAAAAAGTTCAACGATTCATGCATTATCTAGCTGGCACCTCCCAGGATTCACATTACACATTTTGGAAGGAAGGAAAGAACTGCGGGGTGTCTGAATGACATACTAAGGCCTGCGTTGAGCTGCGCTCTGGGCAGCTCCCCGCAATCCCCACAGGGAAAGTGAGGCATTCCCAATAGGAAGAAAGGCGGCGATGGAGCTCGTGCGCGCCTGGGAAGACACCCGCCCACGCGTGCCTCTGCCCACTCCCGGAGCCGACGAAGAGGGAGGCTCCATCCCGACTCACTTCCTGCCGGGGAGGAAAGACATCTTGCCGCAGGGCGGCCGGCGGCAGTTCCGCCTCTGGACCGGCCGGCTACAGAGCGCGCCCCGCCGACACCTACGTGGCGCTGCCCGCTCGCGAGGCGCGGCGGGCGAAGGCCACCCCCGCTGCCCTAGCCTCCCCGCGGGGCTCCCGGCCGGCCCGGCGAGGGACGACGCGAGTGAAGCCCGCGGAGCCCCCGGCCCGGCGGAGGAGCGAGCCTGGGAGGCGCAGGGCGCGCGGCGGGAGCAGAGGCGCGCAGGCCGCCGCTGGGTCACCCACCTTTCTTACTCTGCGGGCCGTGTAGAGCCCCATCCCGTCCTGAACCCGGGAGGACTTCAGGGAGAACCTGTCCGGCACGTACATGCCCAGCATTTTCCCAGCCGCGGCCGCCGCCTCGCTTAACACCGGCGGTCTGCGCCCGGGAGACGACACATGGAAATTTGGGGTGCCGGGGTGGAGGGGAGAGGCCGGCGGGGAAGGAGGAAATGGAGTTTTCCTCCCAGAATCCCCACCTCCCCGCCGATTCCAGGATCCCCCGCGGCTCAGCCCCTCCTCGTCCCGGGTATAGCTCGGCCCGGAGCCGCCGAGGCCGCAGCTGCCATTGCTGGCGCGGGGGCGTGGGGGGCGCGGGCCCGGGCGCTGCGGGCGCGGGGACGCCGCGCGCTGATTGGCCCGAAGTTAGCGGCTCGGACCCGTTCCCGGGCGTGGAGCCCGGGGCAGGGCTGACCCCGGAGCTTCGAACCCGGAGGCCGGGGAGCCGAAGCGACCCGCCCGCACCGTGCGCCCCGCGCAGCCGCGTGCGGACCCGCTCTTGACCAGCTCTGGGTTTTGAGCCTCTGAGCTGGTACTCCCAGTCGGCGAATTTTGCACTCTTCAGATGCAAAACGAAATGGGCCTTGACCGAGCTGGGGCCATCCTCCAAAACAACTTTAGAAGTTCTAGACCGAAGGCATACTTACTGCCTAACTACTGAGAGCAATCCCCAGGGTCTAGGAAATTTTAGTCCTTTTACATCTGAGTTATGCATCTTTGGTTTATTTCATGCTTGTTTCAGAGGTTTGAACACATAGGGGACCAATAAATATGTAGATTAACGTTCAGAGAAAGCGGGTATACGCAGCCTGCAGCTAATCCATTTCAAGTTAACTCAAAATTTGTCGTGAACAATTGAAGTAATATTTAAATCCAGTAGAAACTAGTTCTGTTCTGGTGTCCTAATCCCTGAGAAATTCTTACACTTCCAAAGATGAGCTATTCCTGACCTCTCTACCTTGAAAATCACCAGACCAATTCCAGATTTTCAGACATAGAGCAGTGGAGATGGGGGAGATAAGAGGGAATGACCGAACGAACAGTGGAATCTGGAAACAGGGCCGTGAAATAACACCATAAGTCTTCTTTTAGTGTTTTTGCGGTACACGGGCCTCCCTCTCACTATTGTGGCCTCTCCTGCTGCGGAGCACAGGCTCCGGACGCGCAGGCTCAGCGGCCATGGCTCACGGGCTCAGCCACTCCGCGGCATATGGGATCCTCCCGGACCAGGGCACGAACCCGTGTCCCCTACATCGGCAGGCGGACTCTCAACCACTGCGCCACCAGGGAAGCCCGGGAAGCCCCTTCTTTTAGTGTTTTTAATGAAGTTAGTAGGTATCAATCGCAGTGGCGCTCAGAAAGAACTTTAGAAGGATGTTTCATCTTTCAAGAGGAACTGGGTGCTCTCTACTCGTTTCTCTTGATATTCTTGATAATTTTCTACTCTGGGTTCTTTTCTCAGGAACTATTTGATGTTTCCAATAAATATTTGATGTTTCTTATAAACTAATATAATAATAATAATTTTGACAAAATTAAAGGCCACACTATTAAAAAAACTCAACTGAATACATTTTAAAGATCTTATTGGCTTTATGCAACAATTCGTGGTTTAGACAACATCCAATCTGGCAGATAGGAGCTCTGAGGAGCTATACAAAGTGAAAGGCTTTCACGGGTAGAAGGAAGCAGGAACGAGGAAGTTATACCAGGCAAAAAGTGGATTGGCTATTGCAAGGTACCTTTCTCTTAGGGGATGGTGGAAGTCTGTTAGGCACATTACCTAGCTAATGCTGAACTGGCACCTCCCAATTGGCTGGCTTAAGCTTCCATTTCTAGAAGAGCCGACTTAATTGTAATTAAGTCTCAGTTTGGTGATGGAGAGTTTAGCATAAGGGACTCCATTTGGGGCCTGTTGTCTTGTTTTTAGCAACACACATGGAAATGATTCCTTAGTCTTCTGGACTAAGGGAAGCTTTGAAACACAAACAGTTCCTAATCTCCTAAGTAGGAGAATTTTATTAAAGTTTAGAAAAAGGTTTTTGAAAAAGCATTATGAAGAAAATCATGTAATAGCAATATTTGGAGATTTTAAAGAACAGAATAAATAAATGATCTTCTTCTTTTTTTTTTTTTAAACTGAAGGGTAGGTAGCTTTGCCAGGGGTGAGAGGAACAATGCCTTAATCATTCTTTGAGTTTTGATCTCTTTGACCTAGCATTAAAGATACCTAACTTCCTGTAGGTGGATATGAATTAATAAATAAACAATGTTTGGGGGAAATTTGAAATTAGATGGCCTTGAAACATGTAATAGGGATTCAATAAATATGTCTTGATTGGAAGTCTATTCTGAGGCTAATCTGAGATTTTCAAATTAGTCAACAGTGAGCCTAGACTCCAACTGTTGTTCCTCAAAGAATCTGGACTAAGTAGGTTTTCCTGGAATCCTTTAAGCCAGTGCTAAAATAAGGCCAGACCAGGTCCACTGGGCCCAGCTGGAACCAGACCACAATCCAGAGGGTGGCCATGGCACTTTCCCCAGGGCGCTCAGTCCTTTGTCACACACAGCTTTTCAGCCCTGGCCCTCAAGCCACCCTGGCTCCTCAGTCAAATGCTCTGCCATGTCTCTTTGGGCACAAAAGTTTCCACAGTTTTTGATCACTAGAGAGAAGAAGAACTGTTTTCTGGACTTGGTCTGACGCAAGCCTCATTCACTGATGACCCTTGCTTTGGCATAGCTCCCTTTTCATTGCTGCTATGTCTCTGGGGAACAAAGCTGTCAGCTTGAGAATGCTCATCTCTCTGAATGTAGGCATCTTTACTAATTAGGAAGCAGTATTAAAAATTAGTTTGTGATAATAAATCTGAGATTAATAAAATGAAAAACTTTCTAGATCTTTTATGAATCTCTGTCAGAGATTTTGTTACAACTAATGCAAACAGTATATTTCATTAAAGCATGCAATGTTGTTTATCTATTTGTTGGAGTTTTCTGAAGATCTACCACCTAAAACATAGAGAACAGCAACAAAAAGCTCTTAATAATGATCTCTCTTACAACACATAAAAAAGGATATGTGCTTGCCCGATGAAAATGCACCATACTGACCGGAAATTTGATTTTGAAGCCTATAAGACAGTAGTGGTACGGTGAGTCATTTCTTAAAACTTTTAAAGCTAGAAAGTGACCTTTCAACATTGTCTTTGAAAAAAGGGAAATTAAAATTCTGCTTTATATCAAGAGTTTAAATCCAGTCTTAAAAAAATAAGAAAATCAAAATATTGACATTAAAGTACTACCATGCACCTGATTTACTTATTATAGAAAATATTGCACTATCTTGAGACAAGAGAAATGACTCCAAATACATTTCTCCTTATTTTCAAATTTGCTTTTGGAGGAAACTTTTTTCATTGATATGCCTAAAGCAAGCTCTAGTTATTGAATTCAAACTTGTGTACTGGTGCAGTCCTTGTTTTTCATTACAGGGGAAGATTTAATTCTATAATTCTGTAATAAATAATTATTTTACCACACATACTGTAAAATCTTTTGATTGTGTCTCAATTATTAATGACTGTTTCCAACTGTCATGGTAGATTAAAAGCCTGTTATAGGAAAAAAATACTGAGGTTTATTTATCTTTAGTTTCCTGAGAGTCAGAAGGACTTGTAGTGAATGAATATAAAACCAAATTTCCCGAGCAGAAAAGAATAAAGATGTATTGGTTTGGCCAAAAAGTGCCTTCAGTTTTTAAGTATAATAAAAGACACATTTTTCATTTTCACCAAGAACTTTATTGAGCAACATATTCATAGTTTTGTTCCACTACCTTCTGCCATTTTTCAGGCAACTTCATAATTCCATCTTCCCAAAACTTTTTATCTTTTTGAGCAAAGAACTGTTCCAGGTGGGTGCCTTTTACAAGGGAATTGAAATTTTTCAATTGAAAAATTGAAATTTTTTGCATTAAGAGAATTGTGTAAAGACCGAAATAAATGGAAATCTGAAGGTGCAATGTCTGGTGAATACAGTGGATGAATCAGAACTTCCCAGCCAAGCTGTAACAGTTTTTGCCTGGTCATCAAAGAAACATGCGGTCTTGCGTTATCCTGATGGAAGATTATGTGTTTCCTGATGACTAATTCTGGACGCTTTTCGTCGAGTGCTGCTTTCAGTTGGTCTCATTGGGAGCACTAGTTGTTGGAATTAATTGTTCGGTTTTCCAGAAGGAGCTCATAATAGAGGACTCCCTTCCTATCCCACCATATACACAACATCACCTTCTTTGGATGAAGACCGGCCTTTCACTTGCCCCACGATCTCTTCCATTCCACATTGTTGTACAGTATCCACTTTTCATTGCCGGTCAAAATTTGTTTTAAAAACAGAACGTTTTCATTTCATTTTAGTAGAGAATCGCATGCGGAAATACGGTCAAGAAGGTTTTTTTCGCTTAACTTATGTGGAACCCAAACATCAAAGCAATGAACATAACCAAGCTGGTGCAAATGATTTTCAATGCTTGATTTGGATATTTTGAGTATGTCGGCTATCTCTCGTGTGGTATAACATTGATTGTTCTCAATTAATGTCTCGATTGATCGCTATCAACTTTAACTGGTCTATCCAACAGTGGAGCATCGTCCAGCAAGAAATCTCCAGCACGAAACTTCGCAAACCACTTTGGACACGTTTGATCAGTCACAGCACCTTCTCCATATACTGCACAAATCTTTTTTTGTGTTTTGGTTGTGTTTTTACCTTTCTTGAAATAATAAGGCATAATATGCTGAAAATGTTGCTTTTATTCTTCCATCTTCAATATTAAAATGGCTACACGAAAATTCATCAATTTTGATGTCCTTTTTTAAATGCACGCTGATATGACAGCTGTCTCATACAATCTAAGAAAACTGTTTTGAATGAAGTGAAAGACAACTAGGTGCTACTAGAGCCATCTTATGGAAAAAAAAGAATGAATCTTTTGGCCAACCCAATATTTGCTATGACTCAAAGAAAAAAGAAAAGAAAAAAATCCTTAAAGATAAAATCTGGGGCTTCCCTGGTGGCGCAGTGGTTGAGAGTCCGCCTGCCGATGCAGGGGACGCCGGTTCGTGCCCCGGTCCGGGAGGATCCCACATACCGCGGAGCAGCTGGGCCCGTGAGCCATGGCTGCTGAGCCTGCGCGTCGAGAGCCTGTGCTCCGCAACGGGAGAGGCCACGGCAGTGAGAGGCCCGCGTACCACAAAAAATAAAATAAAATAAAAAAATAAAATCTGGAGTGGGGTTGTTGGAGTCTTGCACTGAAACCATCCTCTCCATAGCATTGATTCCACAGTAGCAATA